CCAGGAATTTCTTGGAAGGGCCATACTTGGCAAAATTTCCTTCCCAACATATATCTATAATTGAAATCTCCCATCACTATTATATTGTGTCTCTTTGAAAACACTGCAATTTGTTTTTCAAAAGTTTCATCTGCTTCCCCTCTTTGATTGGGTGGGTGGTAGTAGACTCCAACTACCAAGATCCTTTTGTTTTTTGCCCCAACAAAATTGATCCAGATGTTCTCCATGGGACATCCCTCTCATTGACACCACCTTCATAGCCAGTCATTCACCCAGAGAATCTTCCTTTCTCTTTTGATTCCTCCTCCAAGTAGAATGGAAGAAAAAAACTATCTGGACCCCCAAGTCCTTGAGTTTCCTTCCCAGAGCTTCGAAGTCAGATGTGATTTCTCAGTAGCTCCTCTTGGCTGTGTCATTTGTTCCCAAATGGACAAGAAGAAAGGGATATGTATCTGTAGGTTTTATGAGTGCTGGCAAGCCTTCCATCACATCCCTTATCCTTCCTCCAGGGAGACAGCATACCTGGTGAGTACATGGATCCTTCCGGCATATTTCAATCTCAATTCCACATACATTAGTAGGGAGTCCCCTACTAGAACTACTTCTGCTTCAGCCCTACTCATGTCCTCCTGTGGGGTCTCCTCTGCGTGCTGTCTGACAGACTCTTCTTCAAGTAGCTGAAAGTGTTATTTTTTTACATCCACTGGGAAAGAGTATCTTCTCCTTCTTTTGCTCCTAACTGTGATTCTTTTCTGTGGTGGTTCCTCCACTATGTTTGCAGCCAGTACAGCATTTAGGGAGAGGTGTTCGTGACAGCCTCCACTGCGATGTTGTCATTTTCTTCCATCAGCAGTGCCCCTCTGGCAGCTGCTGCTGCTCAAGAGTTCTATCAGTGTAGGCTTCATCTTCCCTTATAGCCTTGAGTGTGGATACTTGCTGCTTTGGGTCTCTGACTTTTTTAACAGTGCCACCAGTTTACACCTGTTACATGTATACAGCATTTTGCACTCAGGAACAAAGACAAGCATAGCACAGACTTGGCAGGTAACCACAACTGAATTGTCTCTACCCTTCATAATCCCTTCTAGATGTTAATGAAAAATACTTAATGGGTCAGTTAGAATGACCGTAGTGAGGTTAGGGAAAGGGAACATACACCAAATAAAGATAGAAATAAATAAGAATCTGTGGTCTAGGTAAAGAGAGGCGTGGGAGATGTAAACAGGGGTGGGACTTCACATTATCAGTTTAGGTGTACCGGATAGGCTGTACATCTTGGAGTACCTACCAATGGGGAAACAAGGAAGAGATCATGCAGCTGGGAATAGGGAATAAATATCATGCTACCTGTATTGATGGGTGTGCCCACCCAGTTAGGATACCCACTTTTGCAAAAGTGCTTTTTAATAAAGGAGAGCTGCTTGTATTTGTGGTTGTCTGTTTACTGCATTAAGTAACAAGGGTGTGAGCATTTTTCACATTCAGAAATGGGTAGTTCCAGTGGTGACGAGGGTGACAGCTACTGGGCAACAGCAGTAGCTGTAGGTAACACTGGCAAGGAGGCAAGAGCAGTGACACTCAAGCTACTTTTTTTTAGTATTGCACAGAAGGTGACAATTGTAAACCCCTGCTGAATTTTCCTGACCATGAAAACCCTATGAGACAGTCCAAAATGAAACAAGAAATAGTGCTGAAAGATGAGACTCCCAGGTTGGAAAGAACTCAGTCAGCTACTGGGGAAGAGCAAACGACAAGTACAAATAAAGCTGTCACTAATGATGTGACTAGATTAGAGCCAAGATGGTACAGAAACCTACGCTGCACAATGCTGCAACCAGACTACTGGCTGGAGCAAGTTACAAGGATAATATAACTCCCTTGGTACCACAACTTCATTGGCTACCAGTCTATTTCCAGGCCCAATTACAAATGCTGGTTATGACCTATAAAGCCCTATACAGCTTTCATCCAGACACTGGTTCCCAACTTTGGATAACCCAAGTGTTCTTGGATTGCAATTCCCAGAAAATGCAGCCAATAGCTGGTGGTGAAGTCTTCTAGGATCTGGCAGTCCAACAACACTTGGGTTACCCAAGTTTAGGAACTACTGGCTTGGATGTTTGTTCTCTCGGTGTGATCACAGGAAGAACAATAAAAGTGAGTGAGGTAACCAAATCACTTTAATCCACCAGTGGAGGTATATCCAGCACAAAGACTGAGATGGATACTAACAGGCTGTTTTCACACAGCTGTTATACTTTCTTTGGATAGAAAGGCAGAGGATATCAACTAATTCTACCAATCAGCAAATTACAGATATCCCTCTTTCATGAATCAACAAACTACATTTAATGAGTTAGCCAGTAAGGCTGGCATGCTTTTGGTGGTCTTCCCACCAGTAGGCAAGAAATAAAGGAAGGGTTTACACAATAAACCATGCAAGCCCTTGAGCAAGGGCATCTTAACTAAGCTCAGCTCAACTATCTTGCAAGCTAGGCAAGACTGAACCACTCTTAGACAGGTCTGAAACCATACTTGTTGAGTGAGTGGTTATACAGCAAGGACAATGAAATACAGAGAAGTATCAGTCATAAACAAGCATTAAATATTAAAATTTCCACAACGGTACCCAAGGTTGGAACACACTGGTCTAGGTTATTTAAAGCACCACATCTACTAGAGAAAAATAAATTTTCAGTGCTTCTGTTTCTATGCATTTCCATAACTGATCTTCCTCTGCATTCCATTCCATTTTATTGACCTTCTAGAATGTAACCCTTTACCTAGCTGACCATGTCAGCTTCTTGCTGTTAATGTGCAGAGTTCTGATTGAAGAAAAACACACACACTTCTTCTACAAAGACACATGTATTAACAAAAAATATATACAAATATACAAAGCAGCAGTCCTTCGGCGTGGCAGCAATATAGAGACAAAGTGCGTAGAGGATAGCAGTATAGAGGAAAGAGAAGAAAATACATTTACATTCACATTGTTCACTTATATACACTTGAGGTGATGCTTCTGTCCAATCACGTCATGTGTTGCATCATCTCCTTTACATGGGTGTTGCATCATACACAGATGTTGCATCATCTTCTTCATAGTCACAGTGAGTCAGCACTTGCACAGGTGATCATCATGGCAGCTCATTAATATTACAGTCTGGACTTGTTCAGGCCTATAAAATTCTCAATACTCTGACAGATCATGTCCTATTGGGTCTACTCAACACAGAACTGTTTAAATGGACAAGCTTTCCACAGGGTCTAAACCAGTCAGACCCTTATCTTTCAGGAAGTGACCTGTGATAAAAGCTATGTCAATACTCTGTTTTCTGACTTTCTGAAGGTCCCTCTGCCACCTGGAAGAAATTACTTTGTCTTTTTTCATTATGTAAGCCGCCTTGGGTTCTTTTTAAGGAGAAAGGCAGGATAGAAATATTTTAAATAAATTAATAAATTGGCAAACTCGCTCATTGCCTCATTATTCTGCCTCCCAACCCCACCCTACCGTAAGGTGTGCTCGAAGTACACCAGCATCCTCCTCTTCTCTCTCTCCTCCCTGTCTGCGAGATCCTTGAGGGAGGATTTTTGCTTGGTCCCAGGGCCATTGCAGCCCCATTTGGTGAGCACACCTGAGAGGTTTTGATATTGTGATAATTAGAATTGATTAACAAATAGATGTGTGGTAAAGGTCAAGCCCAGCAGGTGCAATTAATGAGGAAAAAGTGAAGAGTCATGCTGTGTAGACAGGTGATGCAAGAAGCTGATTTAATGTAATTTGCCATTAGCTGTTGTGAGTACAAGTTTCGATGGATATACGTATGTCCAATTTGGTTCAGTTTGAGACCCTGTACTAACTCAACTGCTCCGACAGCTCATTTACTCAGATGCAGGGATGCTGCCTGCTTGTCTATGTATATTTGTAAATAGACTTTGATGCTGGAAACTATGTTGTCTGAGTCTTTAGAACTCTCCAATTTCCTCGACATCTTCCTCCAGGTGCCAGCCTTTTTCCTCGCAGCCCCGGCCTCCCACCACTTTTTTTCGAGGGGTCGTGTCGACAAGCGTAGCGCTTTTAAAGGGCAGCAGGGAGCGCTGCAAGAGCGCCTTGGAGAGAAAGGGCTGCGGGAATCGCACAAGACGCCTCTTTTGCCGCCCCTTCTCCGGCTCGTTTTTCGTTTTCCTCCTCCCCGTAGGCGGTTTCCGGCGCCTGAGGGCGGAGAGAAAGGGGTAGCCGGAGAAAGGGTTTCCCTTTTTTTGGGATTGGGGGGGTTTAAGTAGCGGAAGAGCAGAGCTGTCGTGACAGGCAAGGCTGCTACGGCGCCGCTACCAGATTTTCCCCCTGGCACGAGCAGCCAACTGCCCCTGAAAGCAGGCGCCTTCCGCTCAACTCGGCCCGCTTGGAAAGCAACACACAGGACCCATTGGGATAAACATCTCCCCTCAGGAAGAGGCCTGCCTGGTGGGAGGCTCGGCTCCCGGAGAATTGGCGCCGAAGTCCAAGGAGCCCTTTGCCCCCCCCCGTCCCTTCCCAACCAAGGCTGGGAATCCACGCCTTGCGAGCGAAGAGGAAGCGGAGCGGCGTGAGGTGCGGAGTGGGTTTTTAAATTTTCTTAGAAAAAACGATGCTGAGAGGGAGGGCTAAAAAAAAAAAAGGCGAGAAGCTTTTTTCAAAGGGGTTCAAAATGGGTTCAAAATGGCGAGCCGAGAAGACAGTACTGTACTGTATTGTCTTAATAGCAGCGCGGGGCGGGTGTCGGCGTACGCGCCCGCCCTGAGGGGACTGGAATCCCTCATGGTTGATCATTCCCGGCTTCTTGTCGCTACGGTTCATTCCTCGACTGCCGCCGGGAGTCCGCGGTCTCGGGAGGATTACTTGTGGACGTGAACGCGAAGGAAGAAAAACAAAAAAGTTGTTTTCCCCGTCAGTTTGCTTTCGTTTCGCTCCCGCTCGCGTTTTTATGTCTTCCGACTGTTTTTCTCCTCCCTTTTTTCCCCCTCAAACGAAGGGGCTTTCCTGGTTTTTCTCCTCAGTGTACTTTTGCCGCCTTCTGTGTTCAGTTCTCTCGGGCGTAAAGTCATCCTAAATGGGCGTTTGTCCTGCTTTGATGCCTTTCTGCCTTCCTTCCCCCATTTCACAGCTCTGGAAGGAGGCGAGCTCAGCGGGATCTCAGACCTGGAGGAGGCTTTTTGGGACGCGATTTAAGGTCTCCCCCCAAGAGGACCGATGGCGCCTTAAAGGATGATGGAGACCTGACGCTGGACTTCCCTGCTGCCTGAGATAATGGGCCCACCGTGAGTTTCAGATTTTTAATTTCCTAAAGCGCTTGTATTCTGAGGCATTAACCCCTCACCTTTTAAAGAATCCATAAACTATCATTTTAAAGTGAAGGATGGTTTGCTTTCCCAAGGGTGCTCAGTGTAGGAAACAGAATGATGGACAAGCCAGCAGTTCGATACTGATAGAACCTCTGGTATGATGTAAAATCCCTAAAAATATCTATCCTTCAGGTACCCATGAAAATAATCTTATTAATTTTGTTGGCATAAGCTTTTGGGGTTTATGACTCTTATAGTAAGTGAATTGGAGCCTGCGAAAGCTTGTGCTGTTAAACTTGTTAATTTTTCAGTTGCCAGAATTTTTTTTTATATATTTGTGTTTTATATAAGTAAAGGGCAAATCTTATATTTTGCAGCTGTTACTAGGTTTATTCCCCCTTTGCCTTTATAATTCCCTTTTAAGTATTCTTTTAAAGCTAATCTGGCCATCCCATCAGTTTTTATATTCCTCTCACAATGACTCCCTTTTCTTGAGCCGTGCATTACAACAGGTAGTTAGTTTGGAAGTTCAGAGGCTTGAGGAATTGGGAATCAAGCTAGCTAAAACATAATCTAACCAAAAATCTCTTGGGTCTTGGCTTGTGTTCAGTTATTGCTGAGTTATCCAGTTATCTCTGGAGACCTGGTTGTATTGTTCCCTCACAGATGTGACTCCGCCAATATGATCTAAGCGTTGTTTCCTGATGATAAAAGCTTCTATGATTTGAAAACAAGATCTGTAGTAGTCTGGCATGCTAATAATTACGGCTTTTAAAATGAGTCTTTAAGAAGCTTTTAAGATATGTATCAGATCTTCTCTTAGTTTTATAAAGAGATTATTTTTCTTTTGAGTTTACATCTCTGATATTAAATTTCTTTTGCACGACAATTCCCATCCACTTTTGAGGTAGGCTGAAGGGGGGTAATTAGGACGAAGGAATTCTTTGCAAGTAAAAAAAAGTTGAAATTGTTCAACTCTGTATTTAGAAATGTGAAGGGAAGGCTATATTATTTGTAAAAACTAAAACTAGATCAAGTTATACATTTATCTGCATCTTGCATAGCCTCAGACCACTCTGCAGTATGCATCTTGGAAAATAAGCAATATTGTATTTACTAGCGCTTATTCTCAAGTAAGTGCAGAAGAAAATTGCAGATGGACTGCAGTCTGCACATTTACTTGAAAGCAAGTTCTGCTGCTTTTTACTGGAACTTGTGCATACAGTTGTCTTCAGCTACTAATTATTTTAGCTACATCTACGAGAATAGAGATATATTATCTTGCAGGTGAAACTTTTAGTGTATCTGAGATTGTTCTCTGGTGAATGGTAGATTTATATAAAAAATAAATAGAGGCACAGTAATTGACGGAAGGAGGAAAGAACAGACAGTTAATTTTTTTACATAAAAGGCAGAACTTTGTGCAAAGAAGTACAATTCTATGGTGCAACTGCAGTCATTTTATATTCTTAGAAAAACTAGACAGATTTATTTATTCATTTATATACAGTGGTGCCTCGCTTAGCGATGTTAATTTGTTCCAAAAAAATCGCTGCTAAGCAATATTAAAAAGCCATAAACCCCTTCAATGCGTTCCTATGGGCTTAAAACTCACCTTTAAGCGAAGATCCTCCATAGCGCCGCCATTTTTGGTGCCTCTAAAGCGAATCTGTGCCTGAAAACAGCGGGCGGCCATTTTGTTTACCCGGCGGCCATTTGAAACCGCTGATCAGCTGTGCGAAAATGGGGGCTTTGCAATGATCGCTTCCCTGCGATCATCGCAAAGCAAAAATAGCCCATAGGGAACGCGATCGCAAAAACATTGTCGCAGAGCGATTTCGCCGTAAAATGGAGCGATCGCTATGCGAGGCACCACTGTAGGCAGTTTTTATACCACCCATCTGACCAGTAGTCACTCTAGGCAGTTCGCAATGCAATAAAATAGTCATAACATAACAAATTAACTTAATTTAAATAAGAACTTAAACTAAAACAAAACAGATGACAATAAATATAAAAAGGCTTTCACAAACATTGCTAAGTCTACCAGTAAGCAGGATTAAACAGAGATCTAATAAGAGCACAGAAAAGTATGTCTCATCCTTATTCAGCTGTTTAGTGGAAAAACTACATTTTTCATGCTTTACATGATGGTCACAACCAAACAGGTTAATACAACTGCATTTTATGTCAAGCATGTGAACCCAGAATCCTCAAGTGGTCTAGGAAACAAAACCCCCTGGTCTCCCTGGGTAGAAGGAATTTCCCTCAAGTGCGCATTCTGTTCATGTGGAAGTCTTTCCTGCTGCGTCAGTTTCATGACAGATACCTGGAGGTCTGCGACTGAGGTCACAGTACAGTACATATCCAGTATACATATTCCCTTGCAGCTAGTCTAGTCATTTTGTGGATTCATATTTTATACAGTGGTGCCTTGCATAACGAGCGCACCGTTTAACGACGAATCCGCATAGCGACGTTTTTTGCGATTGCTAATGCGATCACATTGCAATGTTTTAGGTGGCAAACCACCACATTGTGATGATCAGTAAGCGTTTCGCTTACCGATCTTCGCATTGCGATGTTAAGAAAACAGCTGATCGGTGGTTCCAAAATGGCCACCGGGTGCAGAAAATGGCCGCCCGCAGCGTTTTTGCGCCCTGCCCTCGCTTACCGAGGCGGTGAAAATGGCAGCCAGTTGGGGAATCTTCACTTACCGGTGAGTTTCCCCCCATAGGAATGCATTAAACGGAGTTTAATGCGTTCCTATGGGGTTTTACATTCCATATAGCGATGTTTCCGGATAGCGAAGTTAATCCTGGAACGGGTTAACATTGCTATGCGGGGCACCACTGTACTTTTTTATAAAGAGGTAGATTTTAATGAAACATTTGTGAAAGATATTAAGAACACTTTTTTTAAAGTGCAAATCAATTTACAGTATTTGGATTCTACACAGAAACCTTCATTTGAAGAGGAATGTTTGCTGTGAAATTATCCACAGATATTTTCTGGTCCTTTGGAGTCTATTGCATTAGAAGCCAAACAGGCAGTATACTAGACCTAGTTAACCTAACAACTGTTTATCTTGTGTCTGATGTCCTTGTGCATTGACTTGTATTGCATCACCATGCCTCAACTGTTGGTTGGACTCACTTGCTTTATTACATGAGTATTTACTGATTCCCAGTGTGGTGTAGTGGATAGAGCAGACTAGGACTCTGGAGAACAGGGTTCGAATCTCCACTTGGCTATGGAAGCTCACTGGGGAGCTTTGGGTAGAGTGGGTGGCATATAAATTAAATAAATAAATAGATAGATAAAATAAAATGTGGAACTGGAGATACCCTTAAATACCTTGCTTACCTTGAAAGTCCTATTAAAATCATAAGTCGGTTCCAACTTCTGGAATGTCTATGTGATGTATCACATTCCTAGTATTGATCCTTGGACTGAACAGGTAGACCCTGCAGCTAGAGCCTACCTCAACTAAAACAGAACACACAGGCCCATACTTGTAACCACTGTTCCCTCTAAGGTGCGTAACACTGCATCGGGTGTGCATAGCTGAGGCCAGAATCCAATACTCAGGAGGTAGAGCTTCTGTGCAGCACTTAATAAAATTAGAAGGAACATTACTTGTTATGCTAAAATTTAGTTTAGCATTATATAGAAAGACAACAGTTGTGTTCTTTACAGTGTTCTATCTCAGATTGCTATGGAAAGTACCTTGAGGTTCAGAAGTAGTTTGTGGTTTGGTTGCTGTTGAGATTAGAAGATGCAGACTTATATTATGCTGTGGGAACAAATTGTTATTAGATTTCCCATCCTAATTTAGCTTACTAATTTAAATGGCTTTTATCAGTTACTAAATGTCTTAATAGCATTTTCAGAACTTTAATGTGAATTATTTTTGATACAACCTTTTGAGTACTAATTCCACCTCTGTAATAGGCTACGCCCAGCCATTCTTAACTTTCCTTGTCCATGGTCATGAACACAATATGAAAGAAATTGAAGCTGAATCAGGGTTGTGTAAATGAACTTTATAAGATGGTGTGTGATAAATTGTTTCCAGTCCATGGTGCCCTTCAAATGTGCCAGGGTCCCCCAGGTGGCCATAAGCCCCCCCATTGATAATGGGTGTGCTAAGGGACATTAATTATAATAAATATTACAGTCTTTTGCAAAGATTTGAAATGTAAAGAATGCTTGTTCAGTTACTGCTTCTTTTATACAAGATATATGAAATGTTTTCTATTTAAACACCATAGAAGCATAATGGTGAAACATATTAGAAATAAGGGTTAGGAAAAGATTCTAAAATTCTATGTCTTATGATCGAAATTTTAAAAGCTTGACTGATCATGTACTTGGGCTAGTCATGTAAGCCATTGACAGGTAAACAGAAGAAATGAAATTATGAAGCATCTAAGTCACATCTTTATCTCTTGCATTTACCTCCCTCAACATTAATTACATTAAATGCATTTATTTGTCATCTTTGTTATGTGTCTGTGAAATTTTATAGAAGTACAGTGGTGCCTCGCATTACGACGTTAATTCGTTCCAGCGAAATCGCTGTAGAACGAAAACATAAAGTGAAAATACAAAAGCCATTGAAATGCATTAAAACCTGGTTAATGCGTTCCAATCGGCTAAGAACTCAGCGTCCAGGGAAGATCCTCCATAGGGGTGGCCATTTTCGGGTGCTTGTGCAGTGAAAAATGGCTCCTAAAGGCAGCAGGGAACCATTTTGAGCACCCGGCGGCCATTTTGAAAACCCGACGATCAACTGTTTTGATCGTCGCAAAAGCCATTAAAATGCATTAAAACCTGGTTAATGCGTTCCAATCGGCTAAGAACTCAGCGTCCAGGGAAGATCCTCCATAGGGGTGGCCATTTTCGGGTGCTTGTGCAGTGAAAAATGGCTCCTAAAGGCAGCAGGGAACCATTTTGAGCACCCGGCGGCCATTTTGAAAACCCGACGATCAACTGTTTTGATCGTCGGGAAGCGAAAATCGGTAACTGAAAGAGGGAACCAATCATTGTGCAGCGGAATTCCCCCATTCAGAAGGCTGTTTTGCGATCGCTTTTGCAATAGAAAAAACCTCGTCGTAATGCGGATTTGTCATTAAACAGAGCGCCCGTCTTGCGAGGCACCACTGTATTAGTATCTTTTATGGAAGTGAGAGCTGGACCATAAAAAAAAGGCTGACAACTGAAGAATTGGTACTTTTGAATTGTGGTGCTGGAGGAGACTCTTGAGAGTCCCCTGAACTGCCAAGAGAACAAACCTATCCATTTTGAAGGAAATCAACCCTGAGTGCTCACTGGAAGGACAGATCCTGAAGCTGAGGGTTCAATTCTGTCAGCGTTCCTTAGCGGAAATCACGGTTTTTAGCAGAGTAATTCGCAGTTCAGGCAGTCCAGAAATAACTCGCACAGTCCAGCAGCATTTTCTTCAACAACGTGTATTTACAGCAGTATTTACATCAGTCTGGCAGCATAACGTGTAGAAGTGATTTTCAAGGAGGAAGAAGATACAACTGACTGTACAATTCTTACATATACAGGACAAATCAGATCACACATTGCATCATCCCTGAGTTGCATCAGCACTGCTGAGTCATCCTGACTCAGCTTCAACACACCTGATCATTATGGATTCTCATTAATACCCTCCATTCTGCTCAGGCCTGTAATTTTCCTTGACAAATACTTTGGCCATCTCATGAGAAGAGAAGACTCCCTGGAAAAGCCCCTGAGGTTGGGAAAGTGTAAGGGCAAGAGGACGACAGAGGACAAGATGGTTGGAGAGTGTCACTGAAGCTACCAACATTAATTTGACCCAACTCCGGGAGGCAGCGGAAGACAGGAGGGCCTGGTGTGCTCTGGTCCATGGCGTCACGAAGAGTGTCGGACGTGACTTAACAACTAAACAACAACAACAATGCTTGGATATGGTCTACTTTCCTCACAAAGCAATCTTTCTACACACCCCTTATATTCATGCAATTTCTGTTTGTTGAATTGATTATTTGTGTATAAAGGTGGATAAGTCTTAAGAAAATAGTGTAATATTTTCTTTTTAAAATATTTTGTATCTTTCTGTGTAGCAGTTTACGGAAATGCTGTTTTGTTTTTGTTTTCAGAAGGCGTGGCTGGGTGAAACTAATAACACAGAAGATTGAACAAGCCTGGATAAAAATTAAATTAGTTGACTGTAAGTTTCAATTTCTTCCTGTGCAGTACTAACCTAACTCAAATATGTCTATAAATGCAATTCAGATAGATGCTGTACACATCTTTAGATGCCATGTCATTGAGTCTTTCTCATTCACTCCCCACCTCTTCTTAGAAAGTGTTGTTGATAATCACTTTTAGCAAAAAAGTACCAACTTATAGATGAATTCCTTGCTTTTTTGGAAAACAAGGGAAAGCAACAGGTAGCTCCTGATACAAGCCATTTTTCCAGCTAGTGTGGATTGTTCAGTTATTTTGTAATATCTTACTTTTAGTTAGATTATTTCATACACATGGCCAAAATCCTCTTGCATAAAGTTAGATATCCCCTGCTTTTGAGGATCTAGATGGTTGCAATTTTGGGGTGTTCTCCAGGTCAGAAGGGATCCCAAAAGAGCCTCATAAACTGGAGATGGTGGAGTAATAGGAAACTTTGTGAGTAATGAAATTCCACAGCTGATAGCATCAGCAACTTGTCCTGGTCTAAATTTACACAATAGGATTTTGGCCAGTAGCTCTAATTGCAGATTCAGTTGGTGAGCATTTATAGGTGTATAGATAAAATAGTACCACTGAGAAATGGGAGGGAGATGTCACTGTGCCCTTGGGAACCCAAAAGTTTGCAGATGTACCAGTAATGATAATGATGATAATCATAGTAATAATTGTTGTTAGGCATCCTTCAGTCTTGAGAGACTATGGTAATGTGCTCTGTATGGAGGACTTGGAACAGTGTCTAGTGTGGCTGAGAAGGCCAATTCGAGAGTGGCAATCCCTTTCTGTGTTGTTTCAATGCTGTATGCAAAGCTGGAGCGTCCTCTCCAGAGCTCAAAGCCTGGGTTAAATAATACAGTGGAGTCTCGACCTACGGATTTAATCCGTATTTGAATTGTGTCCGTAGATCGAAAATGCAATCCGTTCCGGGCCTTTCTCCCCCACCAGGCAGCTTCTCTGCTGCTGAAACCACCATCGGGCCAGCCCTTTGGGAGAACCCGAGCAGCGGGGAAGAAAGGCAGGAGCCAATCTGGTCTTTCTCCCCCACCTTGAGGCTTCTCTGCTGCTGAAACCACCATCGGGCCAGCCCTTTGGGAGAACCCGAGCAGCGGGGAAGAAAGGCAGGAGCCAATCTGGTCTTTCTCCCCCACCTTGAGGCTTCTCTGCTGCTGAAACCACCATCGGGCCAGCCCTTTGGGAGAACCCGAGCAGCGGGGAAGAAAGGCAGGAGCTGATCCGGTCTTTCTCCCCCACGGCAAGGCTTCTCCCAAAGCGCTGCGCCCGATGGTGGTTTCAGCAGCAGAGAAGCTGCCTGGTGGGGGAGAAAGGCCAGATTGGCTCCTGCCTTTCCCCCCCACCACCACCGTCTGGCTTCCTCCCTTTTCCAAACTGTTGGGGCGAAAAAGCTAAAGAAGCAGCCTCTTCACCACCAACAGTTTGAATTTCCTGCCCCTTTTCCTTGCCCTTTTCGTCTGTACGTTGAAGCTCCGGCCGCAAGTTGGTCAGCAGAGACATCACCTTGCCAACAAAAGTCCGAATAGTCAAAGCTATGGTTTTTCCTGTTGTGATGTATGGAAGTGAGAGCTGGACCATAAAGAAAGCAGACCGCCGGAGAATTGATGCCTTTGAATTGTGGTGCTGGAGGAGGCTCTTGAGAATCACCTGGCCTGCAAGGAGAACAAACCTATCAGTTCTAATGGAAATCAACCCTGAATGCTCACTTGAAGGACAGATCCTGAAGCTGAGGCTCCAGTACTTTGGCCATCTCATGAGAAGAAAAGAGTCCTTGGAAAAAACCTTGATGTTAGGAAGGTGTGATGGCAAGAGGAGAAGGGGACGACCGAGGATGAGATGGCTGGACAGTGTCTGCGAAGCAACCAACATGAACCTGACACAACTCCGGGAGGCAGTAGAAGACAGGAGGGCCTGGCGTGCTCTGGTCCATGGGGTCACGAAGAGTCGGACACGACACTATTATTACATCATAGTAATAATGGAGATGATAATCAAGATTTTTTTTAAGTGCATTCATTGACCTTGGAGAGATGATAATCAAGATTTCTTTTTTTTTTTTTTAAGTGCATTCATTGACCTTGGAATGCTTTGTGTCCATTTGCAGGTCATGGTATAGTTAATTGACCACTCCACCATGCAGTCCCATTTTTACCTTTCTGATATTAAAATATGTGTTTTGTTCTACCTTTCTGGAAGGGAAACAGATTGCAGTTTCAATTCAGTAGAATCCTGGTTTGCAGTTACCTGTGTTGGATTTAGAGTTCAGAGGTATATGCATATCAAAGTCAGGGATATGGCTGAAATTAAAAAGGGCAAAAGTTAGCCTTGAAATGGGACATGTATTTTAAGAGGGTTTGCAAGGTCATAAAGGGAACTGAAAGGGAAGAACCGTTCATGATTCAGCAGAATTGTGTCTAGATGTTTATCACATGAACATGCCATTTACTGCAAAAATGACAAGAGGAAGTTTGGGAATTGAGGGGTTTGTGAAGAAATCAGGTCAGCCAAATGGGTGGCATATAAATGAAATAAATACATAATAAATGATCTACTAAAGTGAAAGTAAATTCTGATCATGCAAGAGGAGGAAAGGAGAAGAAGTGTACAGTTCTGGTGGTTTTTGTAGTTCCTCTTTTCTATTTGTGTAGTTCAACATTATGATTTCCTTTTTCTGCAGTGATGTATGGAATATGTTAATGTACTTAAAGCTCAGTGCTAAATTTAAAAAATCCTTGAAATATGATCACACTATGTAGCAAAGAACAGCACAATGCTCCCTTCATTTATATAGCAAATATAGTGGTATTCTTCATTGGGAATTGATGAATACATAAATAACATGTAACTGCAAAAAAAATCTATTTTCTCCCTTCTAGGTTCCTGAAAATAAAAGAACTACAGCGCAGTGGACTTGAACATGAGACCACTACAGCCAAAAACAAATTTCCAGCTTCAAAGATCAAATCTGACACAGCAAGTGGGTGCCTTTTCTCAAGCAAATATACCTGCACAGAATTCTTATGTTTATCCTACAAATGTCCAAATGGTGAACATTCAGTCTAACGCAGTCACTACAAATAAACTACCTTTTCAAAATACTGGAAGCTTCAACAGCTTTCCTAAAACGTCAGCACCTAGCAAAGGCACTGGTCCAGCCTGGAATATACTTAGTATGCCTCCAAGTTCACTTTCTGGTTTTTTTGTCCAGATGGCACCTACAGTGACTGAGAATTCAAGTTTGATAAGGAATGTGCATACATCTTCTGCAGCCTCACAAGGTAACACTGGACAGCCTACGCAGAATGTACCTCAGAATACAATGAGTCCCTTTATGACCTTGGACAATTGCAATAATCAACCCCTACAAAATTATTCTAACTCTATGAGAACCTCAGTAAATCAACAATCCAGCAAATGTAGTTCGTCTTCAAGAAGGGCGTCGACACAGAATGCCTACTATTATGCAAATGGACCTGGAACCTCCCAAGTGGGTACAACAGTGCCTCTTGGTACCTCACCAAGTCACCGCTTCAGTTCTCAGCAGAGCTTTTCATGTGTTGTGTTTCCTGCAGAACAAAATATTCAGAACCAAACAAGTGGCCCAAATCCAAGTATGACCATGCCGGTGCAATCACAGCAGTGTATGTCTAATCACTTAACTCCAACACAATGTGCTGTGTCTTCTGATTGCCATAACAGAAATGCAACACAAGCCTTTTCTCAGACTCCTAATGGAAACCGTTCCTTATCATATCCGCCCTCTTCTGTACAGATTAACCACGGACACTTTGTACAACCACAGCTACTTGCCAATGTTCAAAATTATCACAGTCCTATGTTGGACCAAAATAGCAATGTATATTCCTCTCAGCTTGGTCAGAATTATCAATCTATGGCTAACATTAAAGAGACAAATGAAGGAAGTAGCATTGCATATAGTGTAAATGGACATAGGACTGACAATCAGTTTTTCAATGAGTCAATCAAGTCATCAGTTGGAGAGAACCTTTTCAACCCAGTACAGATAGCTGGAACAGACCATCCTAATGAAGCTTTGGCACCACTGCTGAGTAAAACTTTGGAACAAGGCAAGAATACAAGTAATGCTAAAGGAAATTTTCCTGAGAGCTTGTCTAAGGATAAAGTTAAGATAACAAAAGAAAGTATATCCCTAGATTTGCAAAAACTGCATAAACTGAGAAAAATCTTTTTAAAAGAATTGTATAAAGTTAAAGTCAAATGGCATCTAGCTGCAAAAGAAAACAAACAGACTTCTGACTATTCTGTTCACAGTCAGAATCTTAATCCCTCTCTTCCTTCTTCTAATAGCAATGAGAATTTACTGTTACCACCATTACATGAGGCCAGTCAGGTATCCACAGTTTCTTCATATGATACAACCCACAGTAAACCATTTTCATCTGTTTCTTGTGATTCTAGTCAGAGTAAGGATGATTCCTTATTAATAAAGAAAAAAGATAATTATTTATTGCCCATTCTAACGGGTTTGCTGAAAGGTACCACAGATGAAAATATGATACTAAATGCTTTTTTTCAAAAAGGAGACACACACACAAATAGACAATTAACCACTGAAGAGAATTCATCTAGCACTCTCTTAGTTTCCAGTGGAGATTTATCTGAAAATAATAGCATTGACAAACCTCATAGGCTGACCCAAGACTCTTTGACTTCCAGAAAAAATGGTCTAGACTTAGAACTGAGTTCTGCATCTGCCATAAACCAGCTTGAGAAAATAACAGCTGTAGCTGGTGAAGACATGTTTCATCCTTTTGATGAGAACAAGGATATAAGAGAAAGCTCTGGTCAGTATTTGACAAGCAATCTTGAGAGTTCAGGTCAGAATGCAGATGCATCAGATGAGTCTTCATTATCAATGAAAAAAGTACTAAAAGAGTGCACGTCAGATACATACTGTTCTTCATTGTTTCAGCAGGGCAAAAAAGCTGAAGAAAATATAGCTGGCAAGAATGAAAATACATCTGCTACATCTAGTTTACCTTCTCTTGCTAACACTGTTCTAACTGTTCAAGAAGCAGGCTCAGTACAGAAACTTTCAGAAATTGGAAATGCCTATAGAATGAAGGGCACTTGTTCTTTGGAGGAGTTAGAAACAAGTCTTGCTTTATGGAGGAAGAATCTTCCAACATCGCGATGTGGATATTTAAGTAGAAGTACTGAATCAACTGGGAGTTCATCCTCCACAGAGAATGGAGCAAGCGACAAAGAAATACAGCAAAGCTTGGAAAATTTACCCAGTACGTTGGCTCAGAATGACCAAACTGAAGTTACAAATGAAATAACTCAACATTTTGCTCTTTCGTCTCTTGGAAAAATTGATGCAATAAGTACCAATTTATTAAAAGGCTGTGAACCTCAGGTAGCTATTGTTACTCCCTTAATATTGTCAAAAGACAATATTAAAAATGAGATGGAGAAAAATAGTCCAAGTACAGAAATAATGTATCCAGTCATTGAAGAAGGTGGCATACAAAGTTCACAATCTGTTTCTTCAGCAGTACCACATACTGACAGATTGAAGGGAGTTTCTTCCAATTCTGGTAAATGCTATAAAGATTTAGATATGTCTAGAAAAGCAGGCAAATTCACTGAAGAAAATGGGGTAGTGAAAACTGAAACTAAGAAAAACAGCTCTTGTGACTTGAACCAATGGGTAGATGATTGCTCTCCTCTACAATTAAAGCAGCATGAATCCCAACTCATTACAGAAAACTGCTTGCAATCTGATATGTGCACTGGAGACTTAAAGCAGCTTCCTCAAGATTTATTAGGACCCAGAGATGCAGGTGAAAATATGGAGACTGACACCATGTTACATATATCCAGTGTGTGCTCTCTTGTACAAGGTGATGCATATTACAATTCACAGATAGCCAGTATCTTTAGTAATGACCCTTTGAAATCTAGTATACAAAATGACACATCAGAAGAGTTTGTGTCTTCTCTTCAGTGTAACATTCAACAGTCTGACCTTTTGAAAAGTGAATTGGGGATAAATGTTAGTGATCCCAAAGGAAATACCTCATTGCCATCACCAAACAGTTTATCTGTGGCCATTGCAAAAATTTTAGAAAGCCTTCCAGCCTTAGATATTCCAAAAAGCTGCAAGACTTCAGATGAGAACGGTGAAATAAAGGCAGAGGCAATGAAAAACAATATCCTTCCTGAAAGTATGCCTTCATCGGGAAAGAAGCTTGAGCAAAATGTTTCTCATAGTAGTGTTCATTGTACAGACATGGCTAGTGCAAAATTATCTGACAACGAAGAAAACCTATTGAGTGCTAATATTTCAGGTGGCATTATTGAAAAAGGCAGCATTACAAAACATGCACCAGTTGAAGAGAATAAAGCACATTCTGGAAGTAGTATTGAAGCGCCTATAAGTTTATTGAGTGATCAACTGGCAGAACTTTCAAAAGAATTTCCATATGGGATTGGCCATTTGATGGCAGTAAATGTATCAGAAAGTAATGATTCTTTGACTAAAATAATTGAGAGAGACAATACAGAGATTTCAGAAGAAAGTCCCAATGCTAGGGATACAGAAGGCCAAATTAAAAATATTTTATTGAACTCTCAAGACATGGACGTTTTCCCCAATCAATTTTCATCTAACAAATCAGAAAACCACGAAGATGACCAGCCCCAAATGGACTCGGAAAAGAATTTGGGAAAAAAGAACTTAAGTTGTATTAAAACTGAGCAGTGCTCAGATAATGATAATGAAAATGTCCCAACAGGAACAGCTGTAACAAATAAAAAGGGCACATTTTGTTGTTTACGGAAATTCTTAGCTTTGAACTATGTAGTTGAGCCATGTTCATGCCCGCCGGAAGAAGATGCTTCTGAGCAAAAAGTGGGTTTATTTTCACAGTCTGATACGATGTTTCAGGATAAACTAAAAGCTGAAGACAATTGTAAATCTTTTTCTTTTGTAACAGTTAGTGAGAGTGTTCTTTCAGGATCACAAAACAATGAAACTTTGCAAAAAGCTTCCGTATCAAGAGAAGTAAAAGAATATAACCCAGCTGAAGTAGACAAAGCAACTTCTCCACTTGTATTGTTGGATAAATTAGACTCTCAGAAACCTAAAAGAACTAAAGAATCTGTGATTGCAGAATGTTCAACCCAGACAACTTCTCTGTCATTGAAGAGAGAAATGGTGGAAATTAAAGAAAAACATGTTATATCTGCAAGTGAATGTTTATCTACAGAAGAAGCACAGGGTTGTTCAATCACAAAAGACTTAAAAATGCCCCCTGGCCGAAATCTCTGTAAGATGGATTCTGACAACCAGAGAAGTCAAAGGATAGTTGTAAAATCAAAAACAGATCCCTGTCGACGCAGACGAATAGAAATAAAATCAGGTACAGGTTGTGAGCGATACAGAATTAAACGGGACTCCAATGAAACACACATCATAAAGGGCCCCGCTTTGAAAAAGAAGAAACAAAAAGCAATGGAAAAAAAGCTTAGAAGTTTGGCAGCCCAGCAAAGTGGCACTATAAATGTTTCACTGTTGAGTAGCACTGGGTCTGTTTCTGACAGATGTGAAAACTCTGAGCAGAACTCGATGTTACCTTCCCAAGAGGATTTAAATGGAAAGAAACTGGAAAAGGTAAAAGATTTAGAGAAACGCTATGGATATAGGAAAGGAGAACGTAATGAAGCAGCTTTTTCAGAGCATAGAAAAGACAAATCTGAGCATAGCAAAAGTAAATCTGAACATAGTAAGCCTGAGTCTGAGCATCGAAAGCACAGTATTAAAACGATAAGTCTGCAGAAGTATGCTTATTCAGAAGAGAGGAAAAATGCATGGAAGTACAGAAGTTTGCACTCGGATAATAGAACACCTTTATGGCAGAAACAAAGGGGACATACTCCTAATGTGTCTAAAAAAATATGTTCAGGCAGAGAGGATGTGCTGGATACTCATAAAAGAGACATGCAGTCTGAGAGATCTTTTGCTGACAAAAAAATGTCTTTTAGACGAACTAATTCTTTTCAAAGAGAACAAAAGAAAAACTACTTGAACCGGCTTGCATTCAAACGGACTGCACAGAAAACTATTCGCCTGACAACATTAGATGCATCATATTCCAAATCAAGTAGTTTTCCTGGGCAGCATGGAGAAAATAAAAGCAGCAGTTTGCCTTCCAGGGACCCTGAAGAAAACAAACAAAAAATGCTTGAATTCAAAATGTGCCCCGAGATACTGTTTAGAAATCCAGTCTCTGAAGAACGAATTTCAGATACAAAGAACTTTGCAGAAGAAGATAGAACACCTGTCGTAGGTATGTGATCTACTTCTATCACAGTATATTTTAACAGATCAAGCTATCCTGTAAAAGGTCTAGCTTAAATATGAGGCTGCAGTTTACAAATATGGAAGAGTAGTTTTTTTAGTTTAGATTTCTATAGACTGCTATTCTTTAAAATACGTTTTGTGTGTACAGTGGTGCACCGCATAGCGACGTTAATCCGTTCCGGATTAATCATCGCTATCCGGAAACATCGCTATGCGGGGGGGGGAAACCCCATAGGAACGCGTTAAACTTTGTTTAATGCGTTCCTATGGGGTGAAAACACACTGTTATGCGAAGATCCTCCATAGCGCTGCCATTTTCACCGCCTCGGTAAGTGAGGAAATCATACAAAAATGGTTGCAGCAGCCATTTTGTGCACCCGACGGCCATTTTGGAACCGCCGATCAGCTGTTCTAAAAACATCGCAATGCAATGTTTAGGCTATCTAAACATCGCAATGCGATCGCATTAGCAATCGCAAAAAATAGATGGCTATGTGGATTTGTTGTTAAACGGTGCGCTCGTTATGCGAGGCACCACTGTACATAGCAGTGGGGTACTAAGGGCCATGGTCTTTAAGTGTGTGAGAGTGGAATTCAAGTACTTAGATGAATGCTGGCTTATATAAGAAAGCTTCTTGGGATTTTAGGTAAAAGCAATAATGATACCACATTTCCCCCTTCCTTACTCCCTTAGGGTACAACCAAGTGATCCTTTTGAATGTTCTTGCTTTTGCTCAGTTCTCATTGCTGCTTGCACATAGAGAGCACTAGTTTTTTTTTCACTTTGGCAGCTTGCTTCTCAGGCAGGTGCCCTTCCATCTGCGAATTTTCCCCATAGGAAACATCGTTAAACGGAGTGCAAAATTGCTCCAAAAACCTCATCGCTAAGCAAATACATTGTTAAACGAGGCAGTCGCTAAGCGAGGCACCAATGTATCTGTGCCAGTCAAAAGCAGTGGAGCAGGAGCAGCAACATATACTGTAACAACACAACTGGAAGCTTAGTGTTCCAGTGAGAATCCCAGGGACCACAACTAAGTGGCCGTCACATATACAGTACTATGGTCTCAACATCACATGCCAGCCAGTACTCAAATCCTATCAGTATCCTCATTATTCAGCATTTCTCTGGTCAATACTGTATCTTGTTTGTGCATCTCAGCTAGTGTAGGAATTATGTCACCGGCAGCAGCAGACTTTTGATAATTATAGTTCCTGCTTTGATTCTGCATAATATGCAACTGATATGTAGTATGACAAAGTCATGCACAGCCTGAAATTGAAGCAGGGACATTTCAATTGGTAGCATTTGTTTCTCCAATATCTGACTAGCAGAGCTGTGCAGCAGGATTTTGGCAACTGTCTACTGCCCTGTTGTTGACAACTACACATCTCGATGATTACTTGGCAGAATAAACAGTTATTCTGAATAAAAGACAGACTTGGATGTGAAGGCACCTTCCCATCCCTTTAAGTTGGTCTACATAGCTTCCATCATCACATCACATCTCATCCCATTAAAAGGCTCTATCTACAAAAGGTTTATATTTCCTTCAAGGTACATTGTAACATGAGGCTTGAAGTAATTATTGACTTTAAATGAGTTCCATCTTGAATAAACCTGCAAAACACCACAGACCTTTTTTCTGAAAAATTAAGTGGCTGGTTTAGCTACTAACATAGTGCCATAGTTAATTTTTCTGTAAGTACCCAACTAGGTGTCTCTTAAGTCAATCAAATTCAAAGATAATTCAGAACGCCTAGGAGGAACACATTGAAAACTCATGGTTTGTTGGCTAACCTGTTATCAGAGATAGCCAGCTAGATGTTTGTGGGTGTTTACAAGGAGAACATGATCTGAATTGCTTCTACTTGACCTCTGTATGGTTTTATGCAGTATTATAATGTTATGATATAAGTGGTGGGAATAGCTTTGTATTCTGCACATCAAATCATGGATGGCTTTAGATAATTAAATTGCATAGAATGGCGCAATATCACAAGGGGCTAAGTATCTTAGATTGAACATTATAGATAACTGACATACTCTGGAAGCTTAAAAGAACAAGCTTTTTAATTGTTACCTACAGCTATCAAAAGTAAAAGAGAAGACTGGTTAAATTATGTTCCTGTGAAAAGAAGAAAAACTGAGGACAGTGAAGCTCCAGGTAAATTGTTTTCTTGGAATAATAATAATA